CTCTCTCTCTCTCTCTCTCTCTCTCTCTCTCTCTCTCTCTCTCTCTCCCTCTCTCTCTCTCTCTCTCTCCATTCCCAGGTTCCACAGGGGCGACGTCCTCGTCACCACAGCAACGGGCGTGATGACAGAGGAGGAAGGGGAGCGATGGGGTTTAGTGCCGACACACGCCTACGCTGTCCTCGACATCAGGGATTACAAGGTTGGCATGATAACAGGAGCGTCATACGCACAGTATACTTATGGAACATCATGGCTGTTAGTGGTGAATTCAGCTGCTTTTAGGTACATTGTGTTTCACCCACCGCCCAAATTAGATCTGCTCAACCAGTAAAATCCAGCTTCCTGTTCCGGTTCCTTTCCTGTGTGTTGTTTCCTGTAGGGAATGCGTTTCCTGCAGCTGAAGAATCCGTGGAGTCACCTGCGGTGGAAGGGCCGTTACAGCGAGCGGGACGAGAAGAACTGGACACCGGAGCTCCTCAAGTACCTCAACTTTGACCCCAAAACGGCACAGAAGTTTGATAACGGTATTAACTTTTTTCTACCTAAATGCAATAAAATGTTCTATTATGTGCTGTGATTTGGTCACGGGGACAAAGTGGCTTTCACCCATAGACTGTTGATTTTACCGTCGCCATCTTGGATTACGGACGTAATTTGTCATAGACTTCTATACAACCAGAGGAGTCGCCCCCTGGTGATCAGTAGAGAGAATGCAGCTTTAACACATGAAGCACCTGAAATGGTGGAGCATCAATCAAACAAACTGCCTTTGATTCATCGTGCAAGTTGACATCGCGATGACGATTCAAAACAACGATTTATTGTGCAGCCATAACTCGAGTCCCCTACTCTCCATGAAATCCTGTATCTCCTCCGTGTTGGCCTCCAGGTGTCTTCTGGATCTCCTGGGAGGACCTCTGTCAGTACTACGACGTCATCTACCTGAGCTGGAACCCCGCGCTGTTCAAAGACTCCTCCTGTATTCACAGGTGTGTGTGTGTGTGTGTTCATCCTCAACATACAGGTATGTGTGTGTGTGTGTGTGTGTGTGTGTGTGTGTGTGTGTGTGTGTG